CAGAATATTGATTTATATATAGATATTTCATTACATAAAATATAACATATTAAAATTTTAAATAGAATTATTATGTATAATTTTGTGTAATTAATAAATAAATGACGTGCGATACTTTTGTCCAATTAGTGTATATTATTCCTTAATACTAATTTTATTTCTTATATTTTTTCAAGAATTTTTTATATATAATTTTTAAAATTTTATTATTATAAAATTTTTTTCTTTGACCTGTGGATCTATAGTACAGTGATAGTACTTCAGATTACAATCACAAAATCTAGAATTCAATACCACCTAGGATCAAGTGTGAAAAAAAAAATAATTAGGTTGCATAAAAATGAGACTTCTGGCCTCCCTGTTGATCGTTGAGTTGAAATAAATCTATCGCAAGGATTGTATAAAGAAAGGTCTTTAGTCTGATTATACGATTTACATCTACACATCCTCTGAATTGGACAGAAAAAGAAATCCCAGGAACCTGCTTTTAGAACTGTGATAATCATCTGATAATCTCTACCTAAAAACTATATCAGCAGACTCCGGACCTAACCATTCTAACTTGAAATATCCCAATCTGATGCTTGCTTAATTGAAGAACTTATCAAATAGAATTTGTCTATAATATCGTAAATGATGATAAAGAGGATCGTAATCTCCTCTGAGGTTCAAGTAAAAGGTATCAGAATATCTGAGTGATTAATTAATCCTTATGGATTCAATCTAATATATAAATTAATATTAGTATATATAGATCAATTATAAGATCTACTAACTATACCAAAATTACCGTTAGACTGTTATTAACCACCAGCCTCTAGCTGAGTCTATACCATTTTCAGAGTAATGGGTAGGCTTATCTAGGACAAGCCATGATAGGTTATCATTAATCTGCATATATAGTATATAAAAATATATAGCTTGTATGAGATGATTGGTGTCATGCAAAAGGACCAAGTGTCCAAGTTTAAGTTAATTCTTAATAAAAGGCTCGCATCTAATACCAGTTGTGGTTAACAAAAAAAAAAAAAAAATAAAATAAAATTTTTTTCTTTATCAAATTTTTTCTTTTAAATGATTTTGATTGATTATTACTATAAATCATGTAATAATTAAAATGTCAAGTATTAAGACATAGTAGACTCAAACTTTTGAAAGCAATCATAGATATTCAATTGATTAATAATAAACCAATAGTTTAGTCTGGCTGCAGGTATTACAAAAAAAAGAGAGTTAGTTATTATGCAAATAGCCAATGTAACATTGAATATGTTTTATTAATATTTCAATAAAGACATCATTGATTGTGGATTAAAAAAAAAAAAAGTGATATATTTGCATTTTTAAATAAAAAATGTAAAAAAAAAAAAAAAGTATTATACATTGGTTTTTTTCGCGATAATATCAAATCAATTATATAAAGGAAGCAATAAAAATGAAAATTATAATATGCGTAGTTAGAGCAAGACGAAAGAAAAGAAGGAGCTCAGCTGAGCAGCAAGAAAACACCGCATACCCGAACCGCCGTCTAAAGTTATTTTTCTCTTCTTCCGGAACTAATGGTTTGTTAATCGTGATATAATGAAGGATTTTATATTTAAATTTTTTATCAATTGATAATGGATCGCTCATGTGAATAGTGAATACGTACTTGTACCTCAGCCGAGTCTGACCGGACGATAAGCCTATATATATGCATCTGGTCAGACGACAGGGCGAGATATGTCTAAAAAGATAAGACAGATGAACGAGGCAATCATCATGTAAAGGGTCGGATATTGTGTCACGTGAATATGTAATATTTTTATTTCAATATGATTGGCAAAGTAAAAAGCAATTTTTTTTGTTCGAAATTTCAGAATCCAACAAACCAAGGAACCCTATAGGTCACACAATAAAACTTAGTCCTGATATCACTTTCAAGCAATATTGATAGTAAGTAAAAACAAAAAAAAAAAAGTTTGACCCAGGTTTTCATCTCTTTTCACTGTGGCTTTTTTGTTTGAACAGTTATTTGTTATACAAAATCTCTGGCTCAAAATTTACAAACATGGTTGCAACCTTTATTCTAAGAATATTCTTATGAGAAATATACAATTAACTTAGAATTCTTTTTTATTTCTTATTTTTTTTTTCTTTTTTCTTGAAAAAAAAAATGATCAGTTTGAACCATGCAAGCCCATAACGAGGCTAGTAATCCTGATTTCGGTCAATCGCCCAGTTTTCCGCAGCCACCCCCTGCTTCAACGACGATGCCTGCTTCATCAATCTCATCTCACACACCATTGTCTGTACAACAACTAAACCATTTGAAACTTCAAATAATAGCTTTTAAATTAATTTCTCGTAATGTGGCCGTTCCTCCCCAGTTGCAGACAGCGATCTTTTCACCTAATCAAGCAGGCTCACTATCAACACAAGAATTGATGAGCATATCATTACCGGGTAAAATTGTTGAAGCTTCTCATGGTCATCATAATGCACCTTCGCATGGATCACATGTATCATCAGACTCTTCAACGGACAATGCATCTGCTCAGCCGCAAACTTCATCAACCGCTTATAATTCCTATACGAACCCGTTAACTTATTTGAAACCGGTTAATACCTATTCTCATTCATCTCGGCAGCAAAGAATGCTAATTCCTGCGATAATGCCCATAGGAATTGATCCACAAGATATTGCTGCAGAAAGAGAACGGCAATTAAGGGCACGGATACAGCATAGAATTTATGAAATTGAAAAAATATTGATGGATGAAGAAAATGACAACCTGAGTCCAAGTGAAAGAATAAAAAAAATGATTGAATTAAGATCATTGAAATTATGGGACGCTCAGAAGAAGGTAACATATTCAATAAATATTCGTATTCATTCTTATTATTTACGAGGTTTTTTATGCAGCTTCGTCAAGAATTCATAAGGAATATGTCTAGGGGTACAACATTGGCCACGGCAAGTGATCGTGCCGCCTTTAGGAGAATGAAAAAACAATCAATGCGAGATGCTAAAATGACCGATAGACTTGAGAAACAGCAAAGGGAAGATAGGCAACGTCGCCAAAAACAAAAACACTTGGATCACCTGCAACGTATTTGTAATCATGGTCGTGATATGATTCAATGGCATCGTACAAATCAAACTAGGCAGCTTAAATTTGGCCGAGCGGTTTTGAGCTATCATAATCAAGTCGAAAAAGAAGAACAGAAGAGAGAAGAACGTCTGCGCAAAGAACGTCTAAGGGCATTAAAAAATGATGATGAGGAGGCTTATTTAAAACTTATAGACAAAGAAAAGGACACTAGAATTGCACATTTGCTAGATCAAACGGATTCATATCTAGAGTCATTGGCTCAGGCGGTTGTTGAACAGCAAAATGATGATTTGCATTTGGATCCTGCAGTTAGGGGAGGTGTTGAATTGATGGATGAGAACGAAGACGAGGAATCCTATACTGTTGTGGTGATTATATTCGATATAGTTGTTATAGAAACGTGATTATTTAGTTCTTATCGAGCTTTTCATACTAAATTAATTGGTTTCGAATTCATTATGTGCTTTAGAATGGTCAAAAAATTGATTATTATAAAGTGGCTCATAGAATTAAGGAGGAGGTCGAACAACCCACGATGATGGAGGGCGGAACCCTGAAGGATTATCAAGCAAGTAAAAATATCGGATCATTATTCAGAATGAGCCTGATTTAACAAATTTCACAATAGGTTAAAGGGTTGCAATGGATGGTTTCACTATATAACAATCGACTAAACGGCATTCTTGCTGACGAGATGGGTCTCGGAAAAACAATTCAGACCATATCCTTGATCACATATCTCATTGAGCGAAAGAAACAGAATGGGCCATTTTTAATTGTTGTTCCATTATCGTGAGTATTCACTGATGTCTTGAGAAGTTCGCTTTGAATTATATTTATGATTTTTTTTTTTTTTTTTAGTACTTTGACCAATTGGACAATCGAATTTGAGAAGTGGGCACCGTCCGTTAGAAAATGCGTTTATAAAGGGACTCCTAGTGTTCGCAAGGAACTTCAACAAACATATATCAAGCACATTGACTTCCAAGTTCTCTTGACAACCTATGAATATATTATAAAGGATAAATCCATCCTCAGTAAAATAAGATGGGTTTATGTGATTATTGATGAGGGTCATCGTATGAAGAATGTCAACTCCAAGTTGTCCATAATTTTAACCAACAATTACCAATGCCGTTATCGTTTAATTCTTACTGGAACTCCTCTGCAGGTAATTTGCCCAATTTTGCATTTATAAACTTTAAAACAAGACGAGTGCATCATTTAATTATCATAATTAATTAATTAATTATTATTTTTTTTAAGAATAACTTACCCGAATTGTGGTCACTGTTGAACTTTATTCTTCCCAAGATTTTTGATTCGGTAAAAAGTTTTGATGAATGGTTTAACACACCGTTTGCGAATACTGGCGGTCAAGATAAAATAGCTTTGAACGAAGAAGAGTCTCTACTTATAATAAAACGTTTGCACAAAGTAGGGTATTACTGATATATTTTATCGGTATATTAATAGAAACCATTGCTAATAATTTCATGATGATTTTTAGGTATTGAGACCCTTCTTATTGCGTCGATTGAAGAAGGATGTCGAATCAGAGTTACCTGATAAGGTCGAACGTGTAATAAAATGCAAACTCTCTTCACTTCAATTAAAATTATATAATCAAATGAAGAAGCATGGTGTCTTATTTGTTAATACGGGAGAAAAAGGGTATGTAATCTTTATCTCATCTCAGTAAAAAAAAAAATATATATATACTAATTTACAATGTTTTATGTCAATCTATAGAAAAACGGGTATCAAAGGTCTAAATAATACCATAATGCAGTTGCGAAAGATTTGCAATCATCCGTTTGTCTTTGACGAGGTCGAAAAGGATATCAATGTTCATTTGACTACAAATCCTTTGATTTATCGCGTTTCCGGAAAGTTTGAATTGCTAGACAGAATATTACCCAAATTTTTTAGATCGGGACACAGGGTGACCACAAAAGCTTTAACTAATTAATGATAACCGTATTATTATTAGTGGGCTTACACACCGATCTTTATTTTAGGTGCTAATATTCTTCCAGATGACGGCCATTATGTCCATAATGGAGGATTTCCTGTTATGGAGAGGATTTAAATACTTACGTTTGGATGGTACCACAAAGGTATCCATTCAATTCGGTCAGAAATTAAGTCTGCGAATTTTAATGAAGCGACTCTTCTGACTATCTTCTACAAATCTTTACAGGCCGAAGACCGTTCAATATTGCTAAAGAAATTTAATTCAGTGGATTCAGATTGCTTCGTATTTTTACTTAGTACACGTGCTGGTGGGCTAGGGTTAAACTTACAAACTGCAGATACTGTAATCATATTCGACTCGGATTGGTAATTATCGACACATCATGATTGTGTGGTTTTTGTATGTTGATGTGTATTTACCTTCTATTCGTATTTTTTTAGGAATCCTCATCAAGATCTGCAAGCGCAAGATCGTGCACATCGTATTGGCCAAACTAGAGAAGTTCGCATTCTACGTTTGATCTCTCAAAAGTCAATTGAGGAAACCATCCTAGCTCGAGCACAATACAAATTAGACATAGATGGAAAGGTCATTCAGGCCGGTAAATTCGATAACAAAAGTACGGCGGAAGAGCGAGAAGCTATTCTGGTATGTATTACCAACAATTGGCTTCTGGGATGACATTTTTTGGTGCCTATTTAATAATAAAGATCCAAATAGCGTTTGCTCTTGGAAGAAAGTGAAGAAGCAAATGATGTCGAAGAAGAGGAGGAGTTGGATGATGACGAGCTTAATGAAATTCTTTCTCGCAATGATGAGGAGCTTGAGATGTTCAGGCAGATGGATATTGAGAGAAATCAAAGAGAAGAGATGGATTGGAGAAGAAGTGGCGGGACGGGAAAACGTCCGGAAAGGTTAATTGAGGAGCGTGAACTGCCACATGTATATACAAAGGAGTACGATGCAATTATTCGAACTGAGGACCCTGGTGTAGAATATGGTCGTGGACAAAGACCGAGAGGCTCTGTGCATTATGACGATGGGTTAACGGAAGAACAATGGGTTAACGTAAGTAATCATGTTATCACAATTTTTTCCCTGGTGGTTTCATATGTAGGAATCGATTTTTATATAAATCGTTTCTAGGCTATTGAAGATCAGAATATCGATGTCGATGAGTTGATTGCTAAGAAACAAGCAGCAAAGAAAAAAAAGATTGCCAAAAAGCATCAAAAAATTCAAGCTCAGAATCAACTGGAGACATCACAACAGTCCACGCCGCATCCTGATGAGTTAAAGTCCGATAATGATTCTAAGAAGAAGCGCGGTCGACCAAGAAAAGATGAAATGCCATTTTTTGACAATGCGGCCGAATCATCAAAAGCTTCAAAGAAGAAGGGTAAAGGAAAACGTACTGCGGATTCAATGGACTTGGACGATGAATCAAAAGTAATATTTAGTCGATTTCTTTTTTATCCTGTTCATGATTTTTTTCCTTTCGTGGGACACTGAATTAAAATTAATGATCAATAGAAAAAACGTAAGATGGCCAAGAAAGCTCCTAAAGAAAGTCCCACAGATACAGTGCCTCCACGAATACGAGATCAAATGAAGCGTATTTTTAATGAATTATATAGTAGCGTAGAAAACCTTATGGACGATGTGGAAGGGTACGTATGCTCTTTGTTTTTACCGGAACATCACCGAGCACTCATTTTATATCCACCAAATATCACAGGGAACCACGACAACGCGCATACCTCTTCCTAACTCTTCCCAACAGAAAAGATTGGGATTACTATTACACCATTATAAAGAAGCCTATTGCGATGGACATAATTAAACGAAAGATAAAGAGCAATAGTTACCAGACGGTTTCTCAATTTAAGGATGATTGGCACTTGATGTTCAATAATGCCAGAATTTTTAATGAGGAAGGTTCGCAGGTTTATAACGATGCCGATAAGATGCAGGTATGTCAAATTATGATTTTTCCTCTTGGCCTTGTCCATTGTATTTTATCACTTATATATAATCCGTTGAAATTTGGCAGGAAACATTTGATTCCAAATTCGAGGAGCTCTGTCCAGGAGGGCAACTTCCCCAACTGGATGACGATGAAATGGAGTTATGATTATTCTTACTCCATATGCACATATATGTAATTATTATTGAAATCAGTTTAGCTTAGCGTTTTTGCAATAGCTATCCATAACTAGATGTGTTGATACTTAATTTTGTTTATATAATAAAATGTATCAAGAGCTTACAGCTTATGTAATAAATATGTAATTTATAAGCCAAATTATCGGGGAATGCAAGTTATGTTTACTGCAAATGGTTCGGGAAATTTTTCGCAGAGATGAAATTTTTAAATTTTGTTATGCTGCATTACGTGAGTATTTTTTTTTCTATATATTAAAAATTTAATAACCTTATACAGTATATACAGTATTGTATGTACCGTGCAATTAATTTAAAAGAAATATTTTTAATCAATTTGATACTATATACCGTAAATGTTTTATTATGCTACGCCGTATTTGTTCATTAATTCATATTAAATAACGAGAAGTTAGTTAATATGGATATTTTTATTGCAAAAAAAAAAAAAAAAAAAAAAAAATTTTTTACGCCTGCGAACATTTGAATTAAATATTTACAAAAAAAAAAAGGCGAGACTAAATGAAAAGACCAATCATTTCTTCGAGGACATCTCCTTTATTATCTATTTCTCCGGATATCATCTGTTAGTGACCGTTGTTAAATATGGTAACCGCAGAACGTTCCGGTATTTTGGGGAACATGTATACATCCTCGTCATTTTCCATGCTACTATACCTGAAGCAATAGATGTCGTTTGGATCCTCCAATCTTGTTCTGTTGACCTCCTCACGTGATCTATTCTCTCGACTATTTCTAAACACGTTCTGTATGGTGGATAAGATAGATCTGTGGGAACTTTTACTTTCATGACTGTTCCTTGTCTGATTTTGTAAATTTGGGTTGACTCGTAACGAAGAATTTCTGCTTTCAGGCCTTATCTCAGGATTTAGAATCGAAGAATGATGACTTTTCGTTGCATTTTGATTACTGGTGTTCTTGCTAAAACTTTGTGAGCTACTTCTAAGAGAGTTGTGTAAATGACTATTTAATGTATTGTTATTGTTCATGTTAGTGAGATTGTTCATTATTGAAAGTAAGGAAGAGGTGAAATCGGAATTCATTATCGGCGTTGGTGGAGCGATCGTGATGCTGGTGGGGGATTGGGAACGAGCCGAGTAAGTCTGCAAGGTTGGGTGGTGACGGCGAACCGTTGCTTGCGGGAGTTCAAGGGTGTCATTGTTTGTCACGGATGATTCATTATTTTGTCGCGTCTCGTGAGGAAGTGTTAGATTGCTGTTATTGTCTTGATGGAATGAAGGCAGAATGGTGGGTTGGATAATCGAAGAACGATGTTGAACTGATTTCGTGCTCATTACAAGCAATCGTTGACAACACACGGACGTGACCAGGAACGCGGGAGTCACATTCACAAATCGCATTGTGTAACTTAGTTTACTCAGCATAAAGACGACGTTTATCAGCTGAAAAAGCGAATTCATCGTCAAGTATAGAAGACCGTCACCGAACAATATTGATTTCCGACGTAGGTTGTTCCGGCTTCGGATTCGGCGCAAGTAGATTTTTATTGAAATCAATCCGAAGATAATCCAACTGAATATCATCGTCATAATGAAAGCGACCGTAATCCATGGTCGTTGGGTTCGTTCATCCCTTTGATAACAATTTCCATCATTCCCGGTGATAAATACACCGAATCCAAATACATTTGCGGCATGTAGAATGCAAGCGGCGAGGGCCACGAGACAGAGGGGTATCACCAGAAAGGTTGAATTCGGATAATTTGATTGGAGAATGGACAACAATATTACACACTGGATCCCAATCCCTATTGCATAATAAGATAGCGAAAGGGTTTCTAGTGGTCCGCACGTCGATTGTATGTCCAGATAAAGGAAAAGCAATACTGATATGATATAAGCTATTGAATTTGCTCTAAAAAGTCAAAATAGAATAAGATTGCTGCGGCTGTGGATTTATCATGACAGCAATGAATGAGCTTACTTTTCAAGCAAAAAGCTAATGATAACAAACACCGACCAATCCTTTTTGGAATACCAAATCCAATCTTTTCGTATATGTATTATCGAATCATAGAGGTATAGGGTAATTGCGCAGGTCACATATGTCTTGAGTCCATAGAATTCTTTGGCAAGGATTTCTGGTGGAAATGATGGACTGCTGCTATTCGTTATCATGGACATGATTTTTAACGTTAAAGGTAAGCAGAAATGCAGAAGGACAATAGTAAGTTATTTATAATTCAGAATTTATTAAAGAATGTGTATTGATATCAACGTTATTTTTTATTCACTTAGGGAGGCCTGTCCCTGATTTTCGTTATATGATAAAATTTCTCATACACCAATTCCCGACTAACCAAAGTGTAAAGAGAGCCCAGGAAATTTTTCGTCAGAATTTCAGATGCATCGATTATTTATTGAAAATCTAAAGTATGTGCGCGCCTCAGCCTTCTACCACAATTCACTTTTGATATCCATTTTCGGCCTTGAGGATTTCACTCATCCCGCTTCTGACCATGTTTGTAAGTCTTGCAATGATTGGTTGGTGCGACGACCGAGAAATGGTACGGTGGTGTTCATCAATACCCAATGGTTCGTACAAGATTTCCAAAAATGGTCTCTATTAATTGCGTAATACGTAATCCGTATATAAAAACAACTGGAGTCATTGTTACCAAATATCAAAGTTACCCGCCGAACCTTTGCCATTAAAAATCAGCGATACGGGCATATAGTTTAACTCGTTTTTTCTCTTTAATGACTCATTGAAACGATGGTACCACATTTGCCCTCCGAATTACTGCAAAAAATATTTTCCTATATATCGCCGGAAGACGCTAGAACTCTTCATGCTTGTGTTCTCGTGAATCGCCAGTGGTGCAGGAATGCCATGGGACTACTATGGTCGAATCCCTTCCTCACATCCTCTTCACCAAAGATTATTTCAACCTATGTGTCTTTTCTCGCTGACGATGTAAAAACAAGAATGGGCATCGTGGAATCAGTGCCTTTGGAACATTCTCTGTTTGATTATCCAGCATTCCTCAGGGAATTTGATTTCATGTGTGTGAATCGTGCAGTATCGGCATGGTTTTCGAGTAGAAAAACAACATCGAAAGAGGAAAACCTGTGCAACTCAAATTATACAAGTGACAATGCAAATTCAACTTCGGCATCCCTGTTCTTCAAAACCGCTCAGGAAATTTGCAAGTTCCTCTTAACTCGGTCTCGACACATAAGTCGTTTCACTATCGATGTGGCTGAATTCGACTTATCCACCGACTTATTGTGCTATTTGTGTCAGACGACCATAAACTCGGCTGAAATCAATCTATCTAGATTGGGTGATCTCACATTTTCCGGGAATTTCAACAAGTCAGAGGTATTGCATGCATTTGGGAAGATATCCCGAAATATTCGTTCGCTCACCATAATCGAAGATGCCCGAGAAGGTCCATATACCCAGAGGGTCACCCCTATACAGCCTATGGCCGCTTTCATCACCGCTCAACAAAAACTAGCGGAATTCACTTTGGAACGTTGTATTCACTTCGCCGGTATCTTGCCCGCATTAGCAACTCAAAAAGCCACTCTGACGCATGTGGTTTTTCGGAATTGTTGGTTCTGCAACGATATAATAGGCGATGCATTGTCGAACCTCCAGGTGTGCAAGAATTTAGTTTCACTTCGATTCGATCAATGTTTCGCATTAACCAATAATGTATTGAAACCACTATCGGAAGTAAGATACCCTAAGCTGGAATGTTTCGAGTATTCACCACACTTTTGGTCATATTCAGAACGGGATCGTTTCGGCAGGGAGCTACCGAAGAATGAGCTTTCTTCGTTCCTATCCATCAACGGACCAAATCTAAAGGAACTCAAGTTAGGTAATATGTTCCATTTTTGTCCTGAACTCATCGAAGATATCGTGTCATATGGGTCGAATTTACGAATTCTTGAGGTCAGCACGAATAACCTTGAGGAACAAATATTTCCGATATTGTTGGCATGTAGACGCCTCGAAAGATTAACCGTTCCAAAAGTTTCATGGACATTTCGGTGTGACGCGGACTACTTACTGCCAGATATTGGGCGTCAGATGCCATCTAGCTTGTATCACTTGGATTTACGGGGATGGCCATTTGCTCCTTCGGGATTGAAATCTTTCTTGCAGGAATGTGGGAAGCAGATTAAGTTTCTTGCTTGGAATGACACAAATTCTATTAGCCGATATTCAGGTGTCGTCAAGGAATATTCTAAGATTCGGATGCAGAGTGCAAACGATGAGAATAATAATCCCTATGTATTTCTTAAAGCAATTCGCGAATCGAATTGAATAATCTTCGACTGGCTGGGAAAATTGCCCGTGCTGCATGTATATTTTTTTGCCTATAAGTTTAAGGCATGTAAAAAAAATTTTTCATGAATTTTATTTATTTTTTTCGATGTGTTTTTTTTTTTTTTTATCAATATAGTTTCAATTCTTATTTTTACTTACTTTCGTCTTTCAATAATGTGTAATATCAAATCATTAAGAAGTGACGACAAAGTGTTCAAGGTGTAATATAAGTATTTATAGATTAATAGACTTGTTGAACTCCAGCACGAACCTTTCTGGCCTGTCTCAGTGGACAAATGCCAGCATTATTCCGATGGGCGTTTATATCTTCAACGAGACTAGGGCGACTCCCGAAGATGGTGACATGAAATATATCTTCGATTTTAATTATTTATTGAGATATGAAACTTGTCTTTAAAATTCATCTATCCCCATCGAAATCCCTATTTTGTAAAAGGTGCTGTGGTAACTCGGCAGCACTATTTTCCTTCTTGAAATCTGTGTATATTTTCGCTTTCCTAGTGCGATATATTCAAAAGTGATTTTTTTTTTTTTTCGAATTACTCGACTCTTACAATTTCTCAATTCATGATTCTTGCAACACACGTCTTGGCTTCATTTCATTTATTTATCAAACTATTCATAGCTGTACGTTATCCTTTTTTATTATTATTAAAAAGCGCTACATGGTAATATTCCTTTAGGTTATTCTTAGTAAGAAAGATTATTAATAAATATTTTGGATATAATTTTTTTTAGTTTAAAATCATCAAATCATTTTATTTTATCAAGTATCAATGCAATAAGTATTATAAACTGCAGTTTATTTTTTTGAAGAAAAATGAATTGAAAGATTGAAATGGTTATGGAAGATGAAATGCATAAAAAAGGTTTACCAATTTCAATATAAAAAATTAATTGGTAAATATAGTATAATACTATCTATAAAGTAATGAGTTCTATTTCTTAGTAGAAATAGTAAACTTTTTAAACATATTACTATCCTTTTTTATAAATTACCTGATCACTACTTTTAAAAATATATCTTTTCAAAATTTGTATTTTATTTGATATATTTATAAAAATTAATTTTATTTTTAAAAAAATAAATAATAATATTTTATAACTTGTATTTTTTAAAAAATATTGTGTAAACATTATAATAATGATCAATTGAAATAATATTATTAGAAAAATAAAAAAATAAGTCAAAACAATATACTAAAATCTTTTAAATTAAATTAAATTATTTTTTTTATTTGTAATAATTATAATCAAGTTAAATTATTAGTTTATTTATCAAATAAATATATAAGTATATTTTATTTAAGTAATATAATATAAAAAAACTAAAAAAAAAACTCTTTTTACAAATCTCTCAGATCCTTAGAAATTTCCTTTTTAGGTAATATACCCAAGGAAAGAGACAACACACATAACTCAAGACATATATTCTCTCACAACATCAACATACAATGGACATCTTAGCACAGAAAACAATACTTTATGTATAACTCTAGTCTAATAACCACTGAAAAAAATACAACATAAAACATAACCTTGACTTTCTTCTCTTTACTAAAAAGAAGAAAATATATCAACATAAACTGATTTACAGTCAGAAAAAGGAAGCCAATATCAACTTCACAAAGCTTGCAACCAGACCAGTGTAGATTGACACCTTTCTTAACACTACAAGGAATTTTAAAATAAATAGATTTACTTAATAAATCAAGCAAACCTCAAATTCTTCAAAATCTGGAAGAATATCAAAGCTCCTTAAGATCTAAACAGCCTAATATATATATTTAATCTCTACATATATCAAAACATATTATCAAAGTAATGTGAATATGTACATAAGTATAAAGCTGTTATCAAAACAAGTTTAATAAAAGTCCATCACAAAAGTATAATAAGAGTAACTTAAATTGACAAAATTATTAAACACAACTACCACAATGAAAAGTGATCAACATAAACAGAGTATTAGGAATCTGTAAAAATATAACAAAGTTAGTGTAAACAAGTAAACAACCTAAACAAAAAGGAAGAAATGACACATATCTAATCAAAACAAGATTAAGACATATATAAAAACAAGGAAATAGTAAAAAACAACAAGCATTACATGTAAAAGTTTATCAAAAATTATTAAAATAGTACTAAGGACATATATTAATCTACTCATATAACTATTTATAATACAATGCAACAATATAACAATAATATCAATCTACACATATATTCTATTATAAATAAAGCAAAGTAAATACTTCAAATAGTAAATAATAGAGAAGATGATATTATTGATACACTATTCCAATTGACAAAAAAGCATGATAAAACAGACAAACTATAGGTTATATAACAAATCATCAAATAAAAAAATATAACCAATCACAATAGTATAACAGCAGATACTTCAAAAACATATACTATACTAAATAGCATTATTGCCAAAATCCTAGGAATAGATAATACAGTATTCCATAATAAATGAATTTTTATATAATATATCACCTTTCTTTGGTATAAAAAAAAAAGAAAAAGAAAAGGATCTGTTTTAACCTTACATTTTTTTTTTTTAAATGCTGGCTGAGCCAAAAATTTATTGAAGAATTCTTATATAAGGTAGAAAAAACTGAGTTCCTCTAAAACTATATATAAGAAATATTGTATAAATAAAGTATTACAATAGAAGACAAAGGTACAAAAACTCTTTCCCGTAGATCCATCTTTTTTTTCAAAATTTCCTTTTTTGGTAATTTTTAGAGAAAAGTCATAAAAC